TTCTTAAGTTGAATCTGTATGTAAGTCAGAACTGGCGTCCAGATTCAGCCGCTGTTGAAACTGATCAAATTCAGCAGCGGCTGAATCTGAACGCCAGTTCCGACTTACATACAGATTCAACTTAAGAACAAACCTACAGTCCCTATCTTGTATGTAACCCGGGGACTGCCTGTACCAGGAATGCTTGCGAAGAGAGAGCACAGCAGGTTCCTCACAAGCAAAAAGAAGGAACTAAGGGGGTGTACTGCCAGCAGGGTATATATTAGCCGATATAACAACACCAGGGAGCTCCCCTGCTGGCCCAACGGGTGCTCCTAAGGGGAAAAACTTCCAACAACACGTGCATGCAACGCGCACACCCCTATATGGAATGGACAACAGCAATCACTCGAAGAAAAAAAAAACTTCAACAGCAAGACCACTAGAAGATTAATACCTGTAGTTAGTTAAATTAAACAGTATATTTGTAGACTTAAATATTAAATTTCTCCCCCTGCAGCACTGATTGAAGAACTCACAAATAAAGATATTATTTAAAATATAACCCACAAAATCAAATATCATCAGATCACAGAAAGACCTGAAGCCACCTGTTCTACCTTGTTAATTAAGTGAACAGCTAGCTATTGTGCAGCTTGGTTTGTCTGGAGCATTAGAACAGCTTTGAAAAACACCAACTATATTTGCTCATCATATTTTTTATTTCTCTTTTATTTATGTATAAGTAAAGATTGTTCCCGCTCATTCTAATAAAAATCCAAAGCCCTTCCTATTTTGTGCAACATTTCAGCTATGCCAGAACACATTACTCTGTTTTCTGAATTCCTTTTGAGTGTATTACATTGCATCCCTTCATCACTATAGACTGTAAAATCTTTGGGACAAAACCCTGTTTGTTATTTAACATAGATGATTTAACTACTTTTCAGGGCCAGATACAATTTTGATGCAATATCCTGATTATTAATCTCATTAATAATAATAAGAATGCAGAATACCTTTTGGCACAGGACACGGAGCAGAATCGCTTTGACCGTAGGAAATTATTAGCATATCCCATTTTTCCACAAAACTCACACTTCAGGAGATCATTTTCCATTTCATCTAGTCCCTCTAAAAGAAAGGAGTGACACACCCAAGAAGTCAGTTTGAATGATTTAAACATGATGCCATTTAACGTCTCATGTCTTAAGGAGGCACTTAAAGTAAAATTTAAAATATCACTATCAACACATTTAACTGAATGCCTTTTAGAAGGTAAACATACACAACTGATGCCAAACCAGTAAATTATACAAATCATTTTTTTAATGGAGTGAAGTGTTAATTTATCTAATGTACATAGCCTCTTTTGCTTAATATACAGACTATCTATGAGCAGGTAACATCCTCAGATTTAATCAACCTTAATTTTGCCCCTCTGCACTGATCATAAACAGTGAGCAACTAATGTTTCATATTCAAAATTCAAGCTCTCTCACTTAGCTGTAGTATGTTAACATCATTACCTAGTACTATTTCTCTTCCCTGAATAGACAAGAACAATTCTTAATCAGGAGGAGAGTTGAGAAAGTCACTGAAGCGCTGAATCTAATCAGTGGAACAGATAGCAATTTACGAAGAGAATGAGCCTACAGGTTAAATCTCCCAAATCCAGGCCCTCTGGTCTGGCAACATCCATGGTCTGGAAGAGCCACAGATTCTGCTGGATCAAAGAGCCCTGGAGGCCGGAAGTGTGAACTTACTAGGAGAATGTGGGGACTGGGGATTCCCACCAGACCAGCAGCGGTTGGGCCAGGAACCCTGGCATCAGTGGGGGGCGAGGGGCAGGGAGCCCAAGTCCAACCAGCAAATCCCCAGCGGCAGCAGGGCTGGCCTGGCAGCCCCCGCCGGGAAACTCCTGGCAGCAGTGGGGTCAGGCAGCATCCAGGGAGTCTTGGCTGGAAAACCCCCGAAGACAGCAGGACTAAAGGTGGCCGGATGGTCCCGGGTTGGGGAACCTTGGGGAATCCACGGAGACAGCAGGGTTGGTGATGCCTGGGCGGTCCAGCAGGGGAACCCCGGAGGCAGCAGCCATGTGGTCCTGGCTGGAAACCCTGGTTAACCCCAGTGACAGCAGGTGGGCAGCAGGGCAAGGAGCCCCAACTGAGCCAGTGCTGGCATGATGGGCAGCTCCAGCTTTGGGAGTCCCAGAGAGAGGAGCTGGCAACAGGGCAGCCAGCAGGGGAGCACTAACCTCCCCTGCTCCAGCAAAATCCCTGGTCCTAGACAGCTCAGGTACCAAGGGTGCTGGACCAGGGAGGTCCAATCTGTACAGGGAAGGAATTAATATTTTTAAAGATCTTTTCTTTTTAAGCCACACAGGACATATCCAAGCCAGGGTTCCTAGAAATATCAGGCTACTGCAAGATGTATTTGTCTATATTTACTTGATTTTTTTTCTTTTCAGATTGCATAATGTTGTAATGTGCAATCAGATCTTTGTCAGGCTTATTTGATTATCAAGCAGTTTGGGAAATCCCATCCTCTGCTGTATTAAGCAGTGTTCTCATTTTTTATAAAATATACTTAGTGTATTGATTTAATAATATTACATCACATATTTTATCACCATAATCATGAATGTACACTGACAGCTTCACTCAGTGATATAATGTGAATGCATGGTCCAATGTAAACATTTTTTTTAAACTATACTTTGAGTAGTTTCAATAGCAAATTTTTCAATTTACTGGCAAAAGAAAACTTAGACATTATACAATCATAGAACACTAGAACTGGAAGGGACCTCAAGAGGTCATCAAGTTCAATCCTCTGTCCTCACGGCAGGACCCAGTACCATCTAAATTATCCCTATATGTAGCCAACCATATCCTATAACTCATATAAATTATCCTTCAGCCTCCAGCTCTCTGACCTAGGAAATTTACCTTTTCAAAACATTATGGGTATGTCTACACGAACTAACTTTAATAGGCGCTACCCTAGCGCTCCGTTAGTTCGAATTTAATTCAAACTAGCGGAGCGCTTAGTTCGAACTAGGAAAACCTCTATAGGAAAAAATCAGACTTTCTGTCATGCCTGGAAAATGAACAAATCCAGGATCTGCTGGAATCAGGAGGGAAGCAAATTCCAAAGATGAGGTCCTGTCATGCTAAAGATACTGCTAGGTGGACCTAGCTCAAAAGTGGGCAAGATCCAGCCTGTTAAACCACTAGATCTGGCCTGCAGGCCACCTGATCTGGCCATGGACTGTCCTGCCAGGACCCTCAGGTACAGAGCAGTCCTTTAAAAAGCTCTTAGAGGTGCAATCTGACCCATTCTTCTCAATGGATGCTAATTTGCGTGCCAGTGAGAATAAATCTAAATGCCAAAGTTCAAATGCCAACGTTACTAACTTCAGCGCATGTAAGAAAGGAGACGGGTTGAGCATATTATGGAAAGCTGAAAATCTAATTTGAGAGTTTATTTTGGTACCACTCACTCCCAATCAAAGAGGGACCCAGCAAGGAAAGCCAACCTCAGGAAGCTCAGCAGAGCAGATAAGCCTCAATGAGGTGAAACTAAACCTGAGAAGCACAGCAGATGATGTTTTGTGAAAATGGGTGTTGTGAAGGGGAGCCAAGACCAAAAAATACAGATGGCATGCCTGGTCATATTTTCAACACGTGCATCATCTAATGTGAGCAGCATCTTACATGGATGGAGCCAAAAGAGTACCACAATCTTTCCCTCACTCTGTTAAAATCTTACCCTAGCCTCTGACAAGTTGTCCCCATACACTATTATTGAAATATAACACTACTGCTGCTAATGATCAGGAGAGCAAATTTAACATTTATATTCTGCAAACATTTATGTGAGTAAAGCCCAACTGCTTACAAAACAGGTGCAAGTACATTCAAAACAAATTCATTTAAAAATGCAAGTGAGTATATAAAGAGAGCTTGTTTTTGTTCCTTTTGTATATGGCTATTCTTCCCCCGCCCCCGGTCCTCAAATCAGCCAATTCTCTAAATACATCTTACTCTTGCTCTTTGTCCCTCTTCATTCACATCTAGTGACATAAAAGTTCTACTTCGTTTACAACAATAGTTGCTATTTTTTTATTCTAGACTACTCGTGGAACTCGAATATTCATGAACATACACTCTGATATGGTAGTTTAACACACAGATCAGGACTCTGAACCTTTAATATTTCTGACTGGGTAACAGTTACGCATCAGAATTCTTCCCCAACACTCACTCTGCTACATTGTCAATAGAGTAGTAAACTGGAAAGTGCTACCTCAACAAGAAGAAATCAAACAATGTTGAATAGATTATTGTGAGGAAAAAAAACTAATGTTGAGGTACCAGGATCCTAATATGTTATTAAAGCTAAACTCACCTTAATAATGAAAATATTACCGTGTTTTATACCAGTTTTATAAACTTGTGCAGTATTAGAACTACAGAAACAACGGAGAAACGACCTCAATCTCATCTGCTTAAAAACTGGAAAACACATCAGCTTTGAAACTAAAGTAATGAAAACCATACAAATATGCCATTACATCTCTCTTCCTATGGGAAAAAAGAATAGGCTGATATAATTCAACCTAGATCATGCTACCTGAAAATAGAGGAATACCACAGGGAAAATGGGTAAAAAATAAACTTTTTTTTGCATATGAAGCACTTCTTCCTTTAACCCACAGCTTAGCTTTTGTATGATGGGAAAAGGGATTATATTATTTGACCCTGGTGTTCATGAATGGCATCCAATTCTGGGAAAACATTTCCTGGCTCAACTGAATAACTGTGAATGTTTACAATACAACAATAACTACAAATGGTAAACAACAATGCAAATGTTTGAACAATGCTGTGGAAAAGAAACTGTTTGAAATCTACTTAAGAGCAAATGCTTACTGTTAGTACAGGAACCCTACAGAGTCCTGTGAAAATGAGAGAGACAGGATTCAGTCTAACTACCAAATGTAAGATGTCTTCCTAAGTACTCCACCAAAACTGTAACCACTCTAAAGCATACATCAAAAGAAAGTAAAACTCCTTAACATTTTTCAAAATCTCATATGAAGTAAAACATAAGTAATTACCGAGTCAGATAATTGCTATCTTGAGAGTCTGAACCAAGAAGAAAAGTTCTCCACACACAAACATGAGGTGGGAAATTTACTATGCTATTGTAAGGTAAATTTTGTCATTTGTCTGTCTAGAAAGGTATTGTATACATACAGTATTGTTAAATTAACAAAAAAAGGCACATGAGTAACAGAATTTACCACATGTATAACAACTTTGAAAGACTCCTGCCTCTCATATGCTGTCTATGTCATTAGACTGTACTTCTTGCTAGAATAATCAGTGAAATGGTAGCTCTCACAAACATATTGTCACCATTATGAAGACCATGAAACAATGACAGATATTTCTAAAGTTCTGTAAAATAACCTCTCAGTTGTTATCTTTTCCTTTAGCACATACCATATCCCCCAAATGTGTCACTTGGTCAGGAAAAAAAGACAGGGGTTTGAAGAATATTGTCTATATATGATACATAAAGGCCTTGGGCTCAAATCTCATCAATTGCACACATTATGGAGCACAGAATGTTGCACTGATAACTACCAAATAGCTGAATATGGTGAGATTTCTGCAGGTTTTTTTTTTGTTTTTTTTCAATTTTTCTTTTAAAAACACAGAGGCAATGTAATTTTTAAAACTGCATTAACAGAATATTAAGGTTGCAAAGTGAAGTCCTCAATCATCAGGAAATCACTAAGTTAAGGCTGTCCTCGCAAAATGCAGCAAAGATTTTAGAGGACTTTTATGAGACATATCAGCAATTGCAATCTCTCAAACTAAAACAAATCAGAAAACCCTGAACTGGCAGCTTAAAAGTTCTGCCACTTGTTTAATTTTGTATTTGATTTTTAACTACCATCTCACATGTTTTGACTTCTCTGCAAAAAAGCCCCATTAACATGCAATAGGATTGAGAACTACTATATCCCATTTCAATACAGTGTTTCCAAAATAACATTTATTGATGTGGTCTCTCTCAATGTGTTACTGAAACAAACTACTAAGATGAGAATTTTCATCAGATTTGAGCCTCCAGGCAGATGGCCCCAAATAGCATCCGAGCTGTGACCCAAAACTCAGCTTTAAATAAAAATACAACAGAAGTTCAAATTGCTATTATGTCAATATAAACAAATAATCCCCTTAGATTCAGAATTGTTAGAAACACTATGCTTTTCCCCTCCACAAACATTGGGAATTCTTCGCTCAGATAGCAGTAAATCATGATAGTAAAAACAATGTTCCAGAAGTTAATAACTTAATAGATTGTTTGACATTGAGATATATGATAAATACAGTATGTTTCCCCATCACTTTTATATCAGTTTCACTTGTGGGAGAACCACACATGTGAACAATTCCAATTGCTGTAGAGGAATCTGAGGCCCTTATGAGGAAAGATTAGAAAAAGATGTACATATGGTACAGCTTGGCTAACTAACAACTCGTGTGTGGCAAGGGAGAGGACAAGTTAACAATACACCGATATCTGAAGTATACAAAGGAATTATGGTACAAGAAGGTATAAATTAGAAGCTATGGTAGGAAATTAAAAAAATCATAGGCTCAGTGCCAAAAACAACTTCCTGACGATGTCAGCTGAATTAGTCTGTGGAACAGACCTCTCCTTCCCACAAAGTAGATGATGGAATTTGGGACTTTACAATGAAACTGAAAATGTACTAGAAAATGCAAGGCAGAGAATAATTCACCATTAACTGAGGCATGGAATAGGAGGTTTATACCTCTGCTCTTTCTATCATCTATGAAGCAATCCACAGTAGGGTTTGAACACAAGATATTGATAAATTGGAGAGGGTTCAGAGAGGAGCCACAAAAATGATTAAAAGACGGGAAAACATGTATCTTAGTGACAAACTAAACACCTAACGTCTAACAAAAAGAAGGGTCAAATCTGACTTAAATCATAAGATACAATAAATATTTGATAATGGGATGCTTAGTGCAGCAGACTAAGGCGTAACATGATCCAATGATGGGAAGCTGGAGCTATACGAATTCAGAAATAAGGCATCAATTTTTAACCAGGAGGGTTATTAATCACTGAAGTAACTTAGCCAGGATTGCAGTAGATTCAATCTTGATTTAAAATGTGACACTGATGCAGACTGTTTTTCTAAAAGATATGCTCTAATTAAAAAAAAAAAAGAGGCTATTTTTTTGAAAGTTCTTTGCCTAGTTTTATAGAGGTCTTACTAGATGATAACATTTGTCTTTTCTGGCCTTTGAATCTACAAACAATAGCAATTAAATAATCCAACCAGGATTCTAACAAAACTGCCTGTAACTATCTTGCAGCAGAGTTACTGTCACAGCATGGTTTCTTTTTTGCTATCCCAAGCTATGCTACAGGTTAAATCTCTAAAATCCGGGACTCTCCGGTCCAGCAACATCAATGGTCTGGCAGGACCACAGATATTGCTGAATCAGAGAGCCCTGGCTTGCCAGGTTCAGGGGCTGAATTGGCAGTGAGAAGCACAGTTGAGAGCACAGCCCTGGCTGGGGCTGCTGGTGGGGAGTGCTGTCCCACTGGGGCTGTAGGCAGTGCACTTGGCCCAGGAGCACAGCCCTGGCCAAGTCAGCACAGCAGGGAGCTCAGCCCCAGAGGCAGCATAGCCAGCAGCACCTGGGAGTGCGTCGGTATAATGCAGTGGAGAGTGCAGTCCCAGCTGGGCCAGAGGCAGCGGGGCCTGGCGCCTCCAGCGCAATGGAGAGCACAGACCCGCCCCCAGGTGGGAGCATAGCCTGGGCAAGGCTGGAGGCAGCGGGTCAACAGGGGATCAGGGCTGATAACCAGGAGGGGAGCCTTGACCTCTCCTGGTCCAGCAAACTCTGTGGTTGGTCCCAAGGTGCTGGACCAGGAAGGTCCTACCTGTATACTACTCTAGGTAAGTCAACTGCGTAGTTTCTTAAAACTGCATTCACGTTGAACACTGTTACAACTGTGTTTGGCTACATCTGTTTGAAAATAGCTTCAAACACCATCACTGGATATAGTGTTGAATGGATCTAAGATAGAGGAGAAACAGTCCAGATGATCAGACTACACAGTCCATGCCATAGCATTGACTGGAATAATGTGTATTAAATTAAATCTACAAACCTTCTGTAATTATGTCCTCTATCTCTGTGTCTGAGGAGTTCTCTGCATGTTTTGTACTGTTCTGCAGCTCTGACTCAACACATACGACACTCATGACCTGACTCTCCATTAGGAGCCTTTTTTTCGCAGGTTGCTCAACCAGTAGAGATGAACGACTTACCTGTTATAATGAAAGCAGAGCAGCATGAAACAACAATTAGAAGAAAATGGCACTTGGTACTTAGTACTTGTAGCGGAGCCTACAACAGTGTTTGCAATCTTTATCCTGTTCATCACGATGCATAATGCCACACAAGCACACATAATTTTTCAGACAAATAAAAGGACAGTCTCCTGCCCTAAGGATCTTACAATCCAAACTAGACTTAACACAGGATGACACTAGTAAAGAAAAGGAGATGAGGAAGGTAAATGAGAACATGAGTATTATACAGTGAAGTGATTAGCAATGCAGCAGACATCACACTTGTCAAAACTACAAACCCAGTAATCTGGAACTGACCATTTCTGATTTTAAGTTTCCAGTGGTTAGCAACAATCTACTCTTAAAGATCCAACTCCTGTCAGTGTTTTGTTAGTGACTTCAAGGGTATCAAAGTTTGTCCAATACATTTTAACACTAAAGTATAGGTTGAACCTCCCAAATCCAGGATTCTCTGATCCAGCAACATCCAGAAAGTCGTAGAGGCAAGGAGCACAAGCCAGCTGGGAATCCTGTGGGTGCTGGGGAGCCTCAGTTAGGGCTGGTCCTGCAATCGGTAGGGAGACCAGCCCCAGGAATCCCCAGCCCAGGAAGCCCTGGTGGTGGCTGGAAGGAATCCCCAGCCTCAGCCAGGAACACCGGCAGCAGTAGGGTGGTCAGTGGCTGGGAGGAACCCCTGACCCTGGCCAGGAATTCTGGCAGCAGCAGGGCTGGCAGCAGGGGGGGGAGGGGGGGGGGAGGAAGGAAGGGAAATCTCTGGCCCTGGCTAGGAACTTCAGCAGAAGCCAGGGAAAATCCCTGGTCTTGGCCGGGAACCCCAAAAGTAGCAGGGCCACTGGAGGTTGGAGTGTCCCAGCCGGAGGAGGCTGACCCCCAGAGCTACAGCATGGGGCTGGCAGCAGGGCGGTAAGCCCAGGCTGCAGGGACTCCCACAGGCCAGAGAGGAACCTGACCTCCCCTGTTCCAGCAAACTCCCAGGTTTAAGACTACTCATGTCCCAAGGATGCCAGATCAGGGAGGTCCAACCTGTAGATAGTTTTGGTATTATTGATTATAATATTTAGTTTTACTTTTTTCTATCTTATAGAAAAATTAGTCAGTGTAGATATCTGAGATGGTGCTCTGCATATACTATCTCATCCCACTAGATACACATCTCAGAAAAACATGTATACTTTTTAATAGCCCTTTTTTTTTCAGAAAATTCTCTGCCATGACTATTAGAAATTAGTAACCTCTCATTCAATTAGAGAGCTGGACAAAAAAAGTAGCACGAATTCTAACTATACACTTAAGGGAAACTTGATTCACATAAAATATACATATAATATATGCATTTATACAATATACTGTAAAAGTGCTGTAACAAATTGGCTATGAAACAGAAAGGAAAAGAAAGTTAATCCCAAAATTCTGAAAAGTTATTCTGAATATAAAGGACTTAATTGGGTAATAGCCACAAAGAACTAAAGCAGATTTGTTTACAACATATGTTAGTAGCTTTTAACTTTTACACTTACAGGAAATGGCTCTAAACCCTCCTGAATAACAAAGCCCTCAATAACATGGGTCAGGATCTGTGGTTTAACGATAGCTTGTGGAGGTCTGTTTTCTAGGTTAGGAATGCTATTAGGCTTTGATGTGATGTTACTCCTTGTGGCAGCTACTGGAAGCAAAAGTGGAGGAGGCGGAATAGAGGCATGTGAAGGATCTGATGGAGACTTAATTACTGAGGCACTAACTGATGATGCCACTGTAGGAAGTCCCACTTGTTCTGAAAAAAAAATTAGAATAAAATATTATACTTCAATCACAGTGTCAAGTTATATTCATAGAGTTACAGAAAGCAGAGATGGAAAACATCTACAGTGCTGCATTTATGATCTTACCAATGCAAATTTTTCCCCTATAGTTTGTATTATCAACTTTAAATTATAAGGATATTAATATTATAATTATATTATAACAACAAAAGGACAACTTCATTTTCCTTGGAAGACTGTTCTATAGACTAAGAGGCTGCATCAGTAGGATGTTTTCCCATACTGAACAAAGAAAAAAAACAGGTTGAATGTATCTCCCAGCTATACCCACCTTTGCCCACAACAAACATCTTTCATACATTTGTATCATATAGCTCTTAACCAACCAGCTAGATTGTAAATCCACCATAAAAACAGGTGAGGATCATAAGCTTTTGATTCTAAGCTAGGAAAAAGTACTTAATCAGAAAGAGATCCAGGTAAAAAAGCTGACCTAATTCTACCAGTCTCTGGTCTTGTGCTCACCTGACAAAAGTTCCTCTGAAGCAAGCCCCTCACCATTCCCTAAGGTTATGATTGGTGGAGACAAGGTTGGTGGAGTAGGGGTTCTAACCATATGGACACATTCGGTCTCCTCTGGCATCTCTTCCTCACACACATTCTCCACTTGATAAATCTGCATTGAATAAAGCATTGCTTTAGAAAGATTTCCATTCTGCCATAACACTGTAAAGCAGATTACCAATTGATTTTTTTAAATATATTACTATTAAAAATATTATGTTGATATTATGCTGTTAATATTATGCTTCAATTTTTCTACACTAAAGACACATACACCCACCCCTTCTATTCATGACATAGAAATGCAGGTTAGACGTGCACCACTGAGACGTTACTGGTCCCCGAATGAGGGAATTTGCTGGACCAGGGGAGGTCCCATCACCAGCTTCCTAGACTGCCTCCCCTCCCTGCTGCCAGACCTGGCCACCCCCTGTGCCGGGCTGCTGAGGTCCCCGCAGTCCGAACTGCTGTGTCGCTGGCCCCCGCTATTGGGGCTGCCACATCTTTGGCCTTGGCTGTGCTACTGGGGCCATCAGCCCTCTTTGCCACTGGGGATCCCAGCCAAGACTCCCTGGTCCAGGAATATCTGTGGTCCAGCTAGAAGAGGGAGTCCTGGTTTTTGGAGGTCCAACCTGTAATGAAAGCAAAACTATAGCATTTGTAATAACATACAGATCCTAAGATGTGTACCATTCTCTTCACAGATAGGTGGTCAGGAGAACTTAATAGGTCCTCCCCATCTCAAATCTTCCATGTTTTATTTATCTATATTTAAAGACTAACATTAAATTCAAGCAATACAACTGAATGGCAAGCTCAGTAAAGAGGACATAAATTGAATGAACTATAATAAGTCACAACACTTTACAAGATTCCTAATTTGTTTATAACTTTGCCAAACTAACTGTTTCAGCTGAAATTTAATGTGCCAAATATATCTGCATCAGATTTTTTGGGGGGGGCAGAGGGGAGGAGGGCAGGGGAGTTTCAGCCAATACTGTTCACTTACTTAGCAGAATGAGTTTAAAATGCAATGTTTTGTCCATGCTTAAAAAAAATAATCTTACAACTGCTTCACTGAGAAATTCTAGAAACCCCATGCTTTGGATCTGAAGTGCTTGAAATTTGGCAGCATGATCACCCTGGAGTGAGGGATGTGACTTTCACCATCCTCATAAAAAGCCACTCTGGGGGCTGACAAATTTGTTGGGGCGGGGAGGGGGGGGACAAGGGCATGGTTCCATGCTTCTAGAAGGGGCAGGGCCTCGGGCAGAAGGGGCAGGGCCTCAGGCAGCTAGCTCTCAGTACTGCCCGAAGTGTGCCAGTGTTCACACCCTCCTTCCTCCCCTCTCTCCCCCCTCTCCCGCCCGGTCACTTTCCAGGCAACCCTGAGGTGCTCTGGTGGCAATTTAAAGGGTTCAGGGCTCTGGCCATCACCACAGTAATGGTGGTGGCAACCAGGAACCCCAGGCCCTTTCAAATTGCTGGTCCCCAGAACAGTGGCCCCATTTGTGGCTCTGCCCCACCTTGCTCAGTAGGCATCAGTCCACTCAAATTTGGTCAAGTTCAAAACCTCTGAAAATTGCAATTTCCACGTAGCTAGTGAAGATTTGTTAGTGTTAAGAAGTTAAATTCTCTGAAGAGTCTGTCTATACAAAGCATGCTCCATTGTTTCTGCAGTGTCCGAGTACAGACCTTCCCATCAATTTCTCCTCCCAATTCTCTGCTAAGCACCAGAAATAGGAACCGAGAGCAGAATAACTGTCTCCCCTGTGCTCACAATGCTTGCCCTGCAGGCATATAGAATGAATAGAGGAGGAGGAGTCCTATGGAAAAATGTGAGACCATTCAGTTAAAGACTACCATAATGCATAGGCACGAAGGGAGGAAGGTGGCACTGGTAGCCATAAGTCTGCTATTTCTTAACTTTTGAGTGACTTGGAATTCTGAATGGAGAGCAAGAATCAGTTCAATTTGGAGTCTTTAATATACAAAATCTCCAAAGTTATGTGTAAACACCAGAGTGCTTTCCTTCTCATGCAGCTGCATATTACAGCAAGCAAACCAAGGATTCCAAGGGAATATGCTAAGTTTATCAGTTATGATTTTCTCTAAAACTACAAAGCAAATTGAAGTGATTTAGCAACTCTGCTTCACCTCCCGGCACCTGGATCAGAGATTTCCAAGCAGTCTCTGTATAGGCTGCACATTTGTGCAGTCAACCGGTGCATGGTAGTCCAGTAGGCACCACACATGCGCGGATTGAGCCCTCCAGTTCCTACTCTAGCCTGAAGGCCCTCTAAGTCCAAAGCAGAGGGGTGGAAAGTGGGTCATGGAGCATCCATGGGGACACTCATCTCAAAGAATTCCAGTGACCGCACAAGGTGAGTAATCTTCATTTCTTCCTCGATAGATGTCCCCATTGATGCTCCATGTTTGGTGATTAACAAGCAGTTTCAGTCTGTGGTGGCTCAGGCTTCAGAATATTACGGAAGGCCAATGACAGAACTGCAGAGCCCTCTTAAGTATCAACTCTCACCCCATAAAAAAGTGCATGGTGTTTAGCGAAAGTAAGCTGTCATGTTTTACAAATGTCTACGAGTGGTGCACTGCATAGTTACACAGTGAAAGAAGAGATGGCTTTGGTAGAATGAGCTGTCAGCTGTAATGGTGGTTATAGCACAGTTTTATACAATCTGTGATCCATTTGAACAGCCTTTGTTTTGATCTGACTTGCCCTTTCATCCACTCGGTGAATGCCAGGTAGAGGCGAGGGGTTTGCCTGAAGGGCTTAGTTCTTTACAAGTAGATTGCTAGCACTTGTCTGACATCGAGAGTATGCATAGAAGTCTCTAATGTATTTGCATGCAGTTTCAGGAAAAATACAGGTAAACTTACTAGCTTATTTATGTGGAATGAGGATGTGACTTAGGTAGGTATTTCGGGTGCATGAAAAGAGTGACCATGTCCATACAGAATATTGTAAAAGTTGGGTTGGCCATGAAAGCCCCCATATCTCCCACGCAGCAAGCAGATGTGACAGCAACCAGCAACGCAACTTTCATGGAGAGGTGTGAAAATGAACAAGAGGTAAGATGCTCAAAGGGTGGTCTGATTAAGGCTCATAGCACTAGACTGAGGACCCAAGTGGGTATGGGCTGTGTGACATCCAGATGAAGGAGGTACAGCCGTTTTAGGAACCTCTTGGTTATAGGGTGTATAAAAATGGACCATCCCTCAATTTTGTGGTGAAAAGCTGTGATGGCGGTAGATGTACCGTGATGGATCTGAGCAAGCAATGATTTCTTGAGAGTAAGGAGGTAGTCCAGGATGAGAGACGGGGCACTGATATTGGGTCCTACCCTTTCGAGGTACACCATGGTGAGAAGCACTTCCACTTGTAGGTGTAAGAGGCATGGGTGGAATCCTTATGGTTACTGATGAAAATTGTACATACATCCTCCGAAAGTCCTAGTTCAGAACAGGAGAACCACGGAGGAGCCATGCTGTTAGATACAGTTTGTGTAGATCAGGTAAGTTTGTATTGTCTAACCCAGAGTAATGAAACTGCTCTGAAGAGAGAGAGTGATATGTATGCAAATTGACATCCTGAGCAAGAAAGGATACCATGGTTGTCTTAGTCATGCGGGGTCTATTAATAGGATCCTGGCCCCATCAGTCCTCATCTTTTGAACAACTTTGGCAAGAAGTGATATCAGAGGAAATATCTTCCTCATTGCATGGAATCACGAAATTATGCATTTCCCAGTGCTCCCCTCCCAATGCCCACTCTGAAGCAAAACTATATGCGTTTGGTGTTGTAAGGTATTGCAAACAGGTCTATTGATGGGCGACCCCATCTGCAGAATAGTGAGTGTGCCACCGAAACGTTGAGCGCTCATTCATGGTGCTGGGGAAAACGTCTGCTGAAAGCGTCCACTGTTACACTGCTGACGCCTGGTATGTGAACTGCTGAGAGGTGGATTTTATGGGTGATGCAAAAATTCCACAGTTTTATGTCCTTGGTGCACAGGCATCGAGACCTGGATCCTCCTTGCTTTTTGATATAGAATACACAGGCAATATTGTCTGTAAGGATATGCATGTGTTTGACAGCAATGGAGGACAGGAAATGCTAGCAAGCACTGTGCACAGTATGCCATTCTAACAAGTTTATGTGCAAGGTCATCTCTTGAGGAGATCAAAGGCCCTGAATGGTCTGTTTGCGAAGATGAGCTCCCCAGCATGTGTGTGACGTGCCTTTAGTGATTGTTCATGAGGGAGGCTGTGGAAAGAATGGAATTCTTCTGCAGAGACTGGATTGTTTGGTCTACCAGAGGAGGGATGCCTTGACCTTGTGAGGTATGGTAAGTGGGAGTGACATGAGCCTTAGAGCAGGACTCTGCAACCTATGGCTCTCAAGCCAAATATGGCTCAGCATGGAACCAAATATGGCTCTTTTGTTATTCCCAAAATACATGCAACTTTTTAAATTAAAATTTTAAAAGTTCAAAATTTTAAAAATGCATAATTACTCATGTAGCTTGAATGTGTGCATGAACCTGAATTCGACCCATTATGATGCAAATTTTCAAGAAATGTGTGAAAATGTGCAGCCACAGAAGTCCCATTAAAAATGGAATTCAGCTTTCCCCATGGAAGGAGTTCCATACTCTTGTTTTGCTTCAGAAATACAAAGCACAGTCAGACAGACAGTAGTCCTTTTCTACATAAAGGTCTGTAAGAAAAATGCATATTGTTTCCAAATACCTGTGGACGGGGAAGAGGGAAAGAATTCAGACAAAGTCCACTGAATAAATAATACATGTCTGACTACATCCGACTAAAAGATAAGCAGCAAATAATATTCAATCTTGTTCACATTACTGTAGCAATAATCCTCTTTGGAAATGTTCTTAGGAACAAATACACATAATTGCTGAACCATCGGAATTGAAGTTGTGATGAACACAAGAGACCCCTTGTGATCTTATAAAAAACAGCTGGTCATAGAATAGGAAGACGGAGTGGGGGCAGCAGTGGGAAATCTTATTTTTATATGTACATTGTATTGAAATGCAATTTTATGTAATCCAAAGAAATTAAACAAAT